TGATACCCTATTAGCTTGTGCAAAACCCATCACAGCTGCACGCCRTTAGAAAAAAATATTTTTTTGAGAAGTCACCTCCCAATAAATGTCATTTTGGAAAATCTAACAGCTCACTTTTACTCTGTACTTTTACTTTTAATACTTAAGTAGATTTTGTGTCAGAAATTTATTTTTGACACTTAAGTACAAACAATATCAGATACTTTAAGACTTTTACTCAAGTAATATTTTTAGAGAAGACTTTAACTTTTACCAAAGTATTTTTATGACAAGATACTTGTACTTTTACTCAAGTATCACTTTGAGATACTTTATACAACACTGAACACTGGTGCACTGGTTTTGTTTGCTCCTTCCTTCACTTTTTATTTTTCTCCATCTTTGGACTCCATTATTAAGAATAAATATGATCAGACCTGGCAGTTAGTATCCTGAGAGGAAGGCAGAGGAGACATAATGAGATTAACAGCTACWGTGGAAAATACATTACAGCCATGTTTAACAATAGGTTATTTCAGTCTCTTCATTGAAAACCCACAGCAGACTTGGTTGTGTTGTTTGCCAGGATAGTAAAACTTCTCTGGCTTGAAATAATCTATTTATTAMACTGAAACGGCCTCCATAAAAACAGGTACCAATCATTTATTGTTCTGAGTGGTCGAATGGGTCATATGTTCCAGTATTGTTGTCTGAACCTGATTAGTAGAACATTCAACCAATGTCCTCGGTAAGAATGCAGGTTCTCATGAGGTCATATGCAAAATTTAGGAGAGGACAAGCTGAATAGTGACAGTGCTTTGCCTGGAAGTCTGTTCTGACTTTACATTTTGGTGTGTCGCCTGAGGATTTTCAGTGGTTCCCCCACATGACCACTTCATTTAACAAATTCTGGACGCCTCACTGACAGCCAAGTTTGGTGAAATACAGTAGAGTTGATTAGAACACACAACATCCAGTCTGAGCAGAAACAAATTAGACTGCTGCTGCCCTAAAACAACTCCAAACAYGTATTAATACTGGTTTATGTGAATGTTTTGTTTGTTTGATTGTTTTTAAACCTTTACAATGCCATCGATTTTCCATTTTATTCTGGTATAATACTGTGATGATCCTGGATAAATGCCGCAGGCTGCACAAATATGAACATCCTGCAGCTGTTGCCACTATCTGTGCTCACACGTTAACATAAAATTCTGTTGAAATAATGGTGTATTGCAAAATTAATGGCTATGTTAACCTTTGTGCAACAACATTCACACAAACTGCTTTAGTTTTCTGTAGAATGGGTTGTTTTAAAACAGCAATAAACTTTGGTTCTGGGMMCCRCTTTAGTARCCATTAGCTTGTCAGTTCACTTGGAATTAAACTCCTTTCCTTCTCATCAACTGAAGTCGTTCAAACCTACAGCAAGAATAATGTTAAAYGTTCATAACCTTTCCTCAAAACCTTTAAAAAGCTGAACTATTGCTTTAAAGTAAGCTGTGGCTTTAAAGCACTGCAAGATTGATTGTTGCACATTTTTTTTAATGTAGATAAATCTGTTGCCTGGTCCCTACACACACCGCTTTTTCAAACCCACACATAAAGTTTAGACAGATYGAGTTACTGAAGTAGAAATAATAAGTTTTGCAACTGTTTCWTTACGATAAATATACTCAAAGAGAATCATGGGACTTACTTRACTTAATTAGATTTTGTGTTAAAGTGTTAAAATGTCATTGGAAACAGTGCCTGGGTTTGGAAGTCATACTATAAGCAGTGAAAATGGCAGGTGGAAGCCCTCATTAGGAACATAACACAGGTCTGTGAGAAGTTAGTGTAGGAAGAGAGGAAGGGAAGAGAAGACTATGTATAGAATGACAGAATCTGAAATAGAAGCGTCACTGTGGTCAGTTGTTATCGTTGCCTGCTGAATCTCTGGGGAGGCAGGAAGCAGCCGTCACTGATGCTGTTCCAGGGTCTGAATTCTTCCATGGAAAGGTTTTATTATAGATCAAGTGTCAACTTTGCCATAGTCACTGAACAACATTGTCTGTGAGTGTTACAGAATCAGCCTTTATGTCCACAGAAATTATTTTAAGGACAAATCATTTATCAAACCTTGTTTAAGTACTAAAAAGAGGGTTAAAGCTGGACTGCCTTATCTTAAACACAAATCCTGGAGTTTCTTTTTCTTTATATTGTGTACTTTCATTGCACAACAAATGTAGGATCTGTCAGGATAATAGAACAGATGTAGATTCAGCCTTGTGTTGATGATAGCTCACCTAAAAAAAAGGAGAATCCATCTATTCTTAGAAGCCTAATGCATCAACCCCCATGGGCTGCTTTCCATCAAACTATGTAGTYGTAAATTCTGTTAATAGTCTGTATTCCCAAAAAAGTTTAACTATTAATTTGTCTTTTTATAGTTATCACCTTGAACAGCTTTAAAGGCAGGTTTTTATGCATGCCTAAATTTCACTATTTGCGTCTACATGTTTTATCAAACGACTCTAGCGCTTTTGAAGCCAGGAACATGAAAAAGTCATGGTTTAGTTCAACTCTTTAAGCCTATAAACAGCTTTTTGTCTCAGGCCAAACCGCTTTGTTCTTACTGAAATCCTCTTTAAGTAAGATCATTAGTATGCTTTAAACTTTAGTGATGATAGGGTTGCAGGATGGATAAAAAATATGCAAATAACTATAGGTTTGGTCAAATCAAATGGAACACCAGATTCACATAACAAAAAAGAAGTCATTTTGTTCACACTGTTGGAGCCTTCTTTCCCTTTACATTTCTATTTGTGGACTACATCAACTGTGGGAATATGTTACATTGGTTCTTTGACAAGAAGCAGTGGCAGTTTCAACCTCAAAGGGTTTTGAAAAAATAAAAAAGTGTAAGTAACAACTAGTTTCTAGACATGCATTGGTGGTTACAACTCAGTCCTMTAAAGCAATGTGATAATACTACATGTACATGTCGTATCATGAACAAAACAGTGTATTCACATATTTACTGACCTTAGCAACAGCTGCTTTTAGACCTGCAGTGGTTTGGCTGTAATGCTGCATTCTCTAATAACCCCCATTTTGTGGTCTCCTCTTTGAACCAACACTATGGTTAAACTGGCGAAGAGCAGCTTGACTGTGTTTCTATTATGCGTTCATGTGTGTATGGATAAATGTGTGTATATGTTGGTAATTAGTGGTCTAAGGCTAGTTGCATGGGCTTTCATCTTCATAAACTGGATTTAATTGGGTAGAGAAAATTAGGATAGGGTTTGATTTATTGGTATTTGTCCATTTTTTCCTTGTCGAGTGAGTCATGTCTTGGCTAAAATCTGGGCTCAAAACTCACTGACGATACAAAAACAACAACAAAGGATGTAATAAGAATAGAAACAGAGGGACAAAAGGTGACGAAAGATCTTATCCATTAGACAAACTGATCATTATCAGCTTTTCAGGACCCCAATCATTGTCATTACCAGATAACTCATAGCTGCTTTTCTTGACAAGTGGTATTCAACGGTTTTCAAAAAGTACGTTTGTGTTGTATTGTTGCTGCTGTAATACATGAATTGTTTTGTTTTTTTGCCACTTCAGTAGAAA